GTGTGTACCTGACAGGAGTAGTGACGGGTGCTGGGTCACTGCTGGGTGTGTGTGTGTGTGTCTACCTGACAGGTGTAGTCGCGGGTGCTGGGTCAATGCTGGGTGTGTGTGTGTCTACCTGACAGGTGTGGTGGCAGGTGCTGGGTCACTGCTGTGTGTGTGTGTGTGTGTGTGTGTGTGTGTGTGTGTGTGTGTGTGTGTGTGTGTCTACCTGACAGGTGTGGTGGCGGGTGCTGGGTCACTGCTGTGTGTGTGTGTACCTGACAGGTGTAGTGACGGGTGCTGGGTCACTGCTGTGTGTGTGTGTGTGTGTGTGTGTGTGTCTACCTGACAGGTGTAGTGGCGGGTGCTGGGTCACTGCTGGGTGTGTGTGTACCTGACAGGTGTAGTGACGGGTGCTGGGTCACTGCTGGGTGTGTGTGTGTGTTTGTGTGTGTGTGTGTGTCTACCTGACAGGTGTGGTGGCGGGTGCTGGGTCACTGCTGGGTGTGTGTGTACCTGACAGGTGTAGTGACGGGTGCTGGGTCACTGCTGGGTGTGTGTGTGTGTGTCTACCTGACAGGTGTAGTGGCGGGTGCTGGGTCACTGCTGGGTGTGTGTGTACCTGACAGGTGTAGTGACGGGTGCTGGGTCACTGCTGGGTGTGTGTGTGTGTGTGTGTGTGTGTGTGTGTCTACCTGACAGGTGTAGTGGCGGGTGCTGGGTCACTGCTGGGTGTGTGTGTACCTGACAGGTGTAGTGACGGGTGCTGGGTCACTGCTGGGTGTGTGTGTGTGTGTCTACCTGACAGGTGTAGTCGCGGGTGCTGGGTCAATGCTGGGTGTGTGTGTGTCTACCTGACAGGTGTGGTGGCAGGTGCTGGGTCACTGCTGTGTGTGTGTGTGTGTGTGTGTGTGTGTGTGTACCTGACAGATGTAGTGGCGAGTGCTGGGTCACTGCTGGGTGTGTGTGTCTACCTGACAGGTGTGGTGGCGGGTGCTGGGTCACTGCTGGGTTTCTCCTCGCTGGGTTTCTTCTCTTCTTCAGACGGACTCTCAGATACTGGAGCTGCAGACGGAGCCGCAGACGCTGATGCTGTAGTGCTGGAGGAAGAAGAGGAGGAGGAGGAGGGAGGAGCCGGCGCAGACGCTGACTTAGGCTGCACACACACAATAACACATCACATTCTCAGTATTCACTCAGCATTACAAACTAGGGCTGGGTGCTTTTGTTTCTATGTAAGTGCATCACTCATGCATAATAAACAAACACACAACTGTTTAATCCCCTTATAAAAGTCATCAGTGCACAAGAGTTCCCCTTTATACACCGCTTCAATCTCTAAACAATAACATGTATTACTCCATTACATTATACTTGTGTATGTTTTATGAATTCCTCTTTAACATTTGAAATGTCATTACCCAAACGCATCGTAAATACCTCTGCACAATCACACACTGATAAAGCCTCACCTTTGTGACCATAACCACCACGAAGTTCTTCTCGTCTATCTTGTACTCCTTGAGCGCCGTGTCATCGCTCAGGATTTTACCTGCAACAATAATTCAAGTAAACAGCACATGACTCATCAACTCTCAACCTGTCAATCATCTGTCAAACTCCAGCCCTGCATTAACACTTATTATACATCACGGCATTATGAGCAAGGCAAGTTTATTTATTTGGCATGTTTTATATGCAATGGTAAATTAAAGTAGTTATACAAGCAAGCAGATTTAAAGAATAAGACACAACATTAGGGCTAAACAATATATCGCTTCAGCATTGATATGGCATTGTGTGAATCTGCAAGGATCACACTACAGGATCTGCAATGTTAAATTGGGATTATAATAACCAGCAACACAGTTCACTGCAATCTTTAACCCCAACAGAATGAAAGTTGTTCATCTCAGATGTGTTTTAAGACCCATGTCAAGACTTCCAAGTTAGTTTAAACCATTTAGGCACAAGAAATTATAACGTTTGTGGCTTTAACGATGATTTAATCACACAATAAAGACTATAAAGTATCATTTTAGATTTAATTATTGAATTACTGTTCTGTTTGACTTCAAAAGATCATCTGTGCTATATTGCATTTATATATGCTTTTAACGTCATTATATTTTGCAGATGCACATGCATGCAAAATCATCCCAATCAATCTAAATTAATGACTTCTTTCCAAATAGAGCTATCAGGTGAAATGTTATAGTTATATCGTTCTTATATTTACACACCCATATTATAATATAGAATTGCTAAAAACCAAAATATCACAATGTCTGATTTTTCCAATACAATGAGGTATAAGAACTAAACAACAAATGCAGACTATGGGGAAATCCCCTGTAACAGCAGGCCACATCCGTCCAATCTAACACTGGAAAAAAATGGCCCATTTTCACTGAGTGGTTTGGTTCAGTACGCTTTTATGGCGTTTTACACTGGTAACCATACCCTACCACTTTTTGGGTACCCTTTCGGAAGGTTAACAGAGATACGTCACTCACTCATGCAAAGAGTCAGAAGAATGAAAACAAAGGAATTGCTATTTTCAAAAACACAGCTGAGACATTACACCATAATAATATATACAACAAGCCATGGTCGAGCCGAGCTCAAACAAACTGTCGTCATCTTGATGTACAGCCACAAAACCAAGAAGAAGAGCAGAACTACCCTGTGCCCCATAGTTGTTTACAAGGCTGACCATATCCTGAGCGGTTTCACTTTCTGCTTGTGCTCACCGCACGTCTTTATTTAAAATAACAAACTTCTTGAGCTGATGACAATAACATGCCTGATTATTGAAGAGCCTCTGACATCTGATCCTTTCAGAAGCGGACAAACACAAGAGTGAAGCGTGAAAAAACAAAGGAGAAGCCTATAATGAACTGGGAATGACGGAAACACTTTCTAACAGAGGCTACATGTGCTGACGAAGGACTAAATGTCTGCTGTGTGTAGTCTTTTCTGTAATTGGTCACATATCAGAAACTGTAAGGGTCTGTATGCGTTTATATGTTTATATAATCAGACATTACAGTAGGCTATTGCACACGGTCATTGATCTGCAGTTATAATCAGATCATGTTGATAGAAAGATTAGTAATGAACATTTATACAGTATTTATGTGTATAAAGCTGTTTTGTGAGAAGTGCTTCTCAAATGATCTGTGAACGACCCGTGCAGCTTTACTGTAGACATTCCCTCTAGCAAGAATGACGTCGACTGAAACTTTCGCTCATACAGTACGCCCGCCTTTGGTACCCTTTCGGCAGTACAAACGCAAGCCTAATAAAGGTGATCCGTACCATGTACTGTACCACTCAGTGGAAACGGGTGAAAAAAGGACTCACCTGCGTATATCAACTTCTGTCCCGCCACTGGAAACCCGTCTTTTCCCTTTTCATTCTCGATTTTTTCCTTTAAGGCTTTTACCTGTGAATGACACAAACACAAATCAAAGTCCGATCAGGAGAGAGCGAACACACACGGTTTACACACACATCATCAGACCCACAGATAACACAACATCTGGAGCCAGATTCACCAAACATCCTTAAGAAATGTCTTTTTGTTTTAGGAAATAAAGTTAAGAATGATTTGTTGTCTGAGTGCCTTTAGACATTATGAAAACAGATGCTGACCTTAATCATACATTTCTAGGGTAAAATAAAGTCATCAAATAAACTTAAAAAAGGATGTTGCTTTTAAGGCCTGACAGATTCCAAAGTATTCCGAAAACAAGACATTTGATCATTTGTAACCAGAATAAAGAATAATTTTATTGCATTATTGATACGGAAAAGGATTTTGCAGTGTTATTTTACAATACTATTTACTTGCCATGAAAACCATAAAACACTGTTTATTTCACTTTCATCTTTGCTTTTATTCAGTGCTGTATTAACCCTGTTATTGAACTGAAATGAATCAATACTTTACTAAACAATGAGGCGATTGTCTTCTACAGAACTGATAAAGAGCTGAAACAGAACTTGATAGAAAACTGATGAACTTTAAACATGTATTGATCTGCACTGAATCAACACTTGATCAGAATAATGACAATACTGTTTTCTGAAGAGCTGCAGAATGTGTTATCTATCTGTAATAACTCAAAAAGCTAAGACTTGACTAACAAAGGGTTGATTGAGTCTGAGATCAAATTAAATATGCAAATGTTTTATACTGAACCGGATCTGAGGCATGTTTGCACAAAAAAAAAGCACATTATTGCCAGATTTAAAAGAAAACACATATCTGAGAATTTGCTTGTTTGTTTGTCTTCAATGGCTATTTTAACGGCAGGAAAAATGTAATACAGATATAAATTAAGCTTTTATAACTGTATTTATATCAAAAGTGTTAAAAATAATAATAAATAAAAAATAGGAATTAAAATAAAAATTGCTTCAAAAAACATGAACAAAATAAAACCATTTCACCTCAGAATTAAAGCTCAACACAATCTAATTAAACATGTGGTTAATGATGCTTATCTGGTTTTAAGAATTTATAGGTGCTGTTACCTCAAATAAACACCAATGCTGGGACATAATAAGGTCAACTTTATGGTTATGGTCGGTTTTAGGTCCTAAAATGTCTAAAGCTGCTCTTGAATGACAGCAGGTCTGATAAACAGGAAATGTGGACTAAAACTGACCCAGTGTCTTCCTTCCTGAAGCTTCAGCAGATTTCAGACCTGTGGTTTACCTCCACTGGAGCTGCGCATGTGTGATTAAACTGACAAAGGTGGCATTATAGGGACAGTTCACACACACATACACAAAATCCCCTTCATTTACTCTCACTCAAGTGGTTCTAAACACTGAAAAATCCAGCTTGCCTTCAATTTTTACATTGAATCAAATTAACCTTACGAGTCTATTGAACTTCTATTTAGTTAAACTGACCTAAACAGCTTATAAAATTAAGTTAGAACATGATTAACTTAGTCGAATAAGTTACAATGACCAAAGAACATGCACTGTCAGGACTTACTGATCATATAATTATCTACAGAGTAGATTTCTTTCCTCTGTTGAAAACAAATGAAGATACACTGGGAAATGCTGGAATAAACTGACATCAATAGTAAGAATAAAAACACTATGGACATCAGTGTCTTTGTTTGTGTATACAGCATTCATCAGAATATCTTTACTTGTGTTGAACAGGAGAAACTGAAGCAGGTTTGGAACAATAGTAAATGGCAGAATTGACATGTTGGGTGAACTGTGGCTTTAACAAATAAAGCAAAAATAAAACCTAATCTGTCTAATTTTAGAAAACTTCCAAAACACTAGCATGAGCATCAGCAGTTCAAATATTGAAGACTACACAAATTTGGGGGCTTGAAATGTAAAGCTTTGATATAATTTCAATGGAGCAGTTTCTGAAAGCAACACTGTTGTGTTCTCGGTGTAAACTCCAGAAGTGTGATTCAGTGCATGTGTGTTAATGTGTGATAGAGTTCAATCTATAGAGATGGCTGACGCAAAACTAACACAGGATTTCAAAGGATCGGGGCATTTCACTGGTGTTTTGAGACGTGGCATATCCGAGTTTGATTGACAGGGTTATAAACAAAACACATAATGTGGTGTATGCACATGGACTTTTAACTTCAGTCAGCCAGCCCCAGGGCTTCCAGTCAATTGTTGTCCTATACAAGAATTGCCACGTTTAAGATGTGATTTGTTAAAAAACGGTGACCTTCACTGATCAAGAAATCAGGCCTTTAACGTCGAGATTTTGTAATGGAAACTGGGGCACTGGGGCTGGCTGGCTGAAATTACAAGTCAGTGTGCATTTAGCCCAGCCGCAAAATCTAGTGAAACTGGGGTGCGGGAGACCCGAGTTCGGATCCCAGCTTGTACAAAAACTCAAATCTCAACATTTATTTATAAAGAGTTTTTTTTGTTTTGTTTTTTTATGTCAGCCTGATGGCAAATTAAAAGAACAGAGCAACACAAACACACATATTAAACAACTATAGTTGCTTTAAGCTGGGTTTAATCCTAATTGGATCACTAACCACTCTCCTAAACCACATGATCATTAGATGGTACAAAGCGCGTTATAATTCCTGAATTTGCATAACTGTTTCTTTGCTGAAGCTATTTCAGAGCAATACATAAAACGACCACTGGTGTCACTATAGAGACGGTTTTCAAAATGTTTTGAAGCCTCCGACACATTTGCTTTGAGTGTTTCTCGAAGCCTCACACACTCACCACCATCATAGATATATACAGTAGATATTGCATACGGACCCTGAGCATGCGTCATCAGCGCTGCCGCATTTGTACAGGGCTGTCAGCACAAAAGTCATTCAACCGCACTGATCAAGACTAAAGCCAGTGTGAAGATGCTGGACTTTAGTGCTGAATACGGGTGTAGTAACGAGCAAACAATTGAAACAAAGCACAAAGGCAGAACATTCCATAGGGAAGACTTTGTTTTTTTACGGTTTTGTATGTTATATAGTTTCCAACAAGTGACGTTATTGATGATAATGCAGTCTCTACTGCACTGACCATACGGCAAAGGAGCACCAACATGCACTAAACACTCGGATACAATTTAGATCAAATTTAACAGGGAGGGTGGATAGTACATTTTAGGGTTGTAACAATATACCGGTATGACGGTTTACCACGATTTGAACGTGCACGATTATCATACCATGAACAATTGCATATCAACGGTTTTAACCCTTAAAGACCGAGACAGCCGCCCGCGGCTAAAAATAAGTATTGCTCTTAAATGTTTAATAACTTTTGATCCGCTGATCCGATTCATACAATTCAAAGATTGGCATAAAGAAGAGAATCTCAGCTTTCCAGTGCTGTATCACATAACATTCGCGGACTTTCAGAGGCTCCGGAATCAGTGCGGTTACGTCATCAACATTTGACAATGCTGATTTGACAAAGAAACGCTCGTCACTGTGTCTCCGGACAAACCAGACATGATACATTGATGCATTGTCCCTCCTCCATGCCCAGATTGGTTCAAACTCGCTATATCACAACCAATAAGCATAGGTTTCGCTTTTGTTTGTGGACCAAGCTTTTTGAACAACACGGAATGAGAGAAAGGCATACATTTATGCGCGGCTAAATAAAATGCAAAAAAAAAAAAAAGTTTTTCATGAAATAATTCTCATACTAAGTACTTTTGCATGCACAGCAGCACAGAAACATGACAAAACAGTGACACAGCAAAGACGAACTGCTGCTCTTACTGTTTTCAAAAGACGCAAATGAAGATGCAGCTGTTTGTCTGCATTGCAGACAACCATATCCAAATCCATATCCACAGACAACCATATCCATGCTGGCACATAAAACCTAAGGATGTTCCATATTGAATCTAGTTTCGTTATGTAACTATTTATAGTATAGTAAATATTTATATCTATTTTTTACTGAGGATTTGCACCATGTTTATTTGGACTTTATTTGGACTTTGACACATTATTTATTATTTTCTTATTTTTATTTGTTCATTGTAAGTGGTGTTGTTTATAGTAACTAAAAATATATTATTTGGAAAAAGTCAAATTTGCTTCACTGTTCTGTTATTTTGTAACATTTGTAACATACCGTATACCGCGAAACCGTCAAACCGTGGTATTGTTTTAGACGATTATCATACCGTGAAAAATTCATACCGTTACAACCCTAGTACATTTCCATACACACAAACACACACCCCTTGTCAGAAATACCCGTGCAGTGACTGCTCCATTGATGTAGAAATGTGATGTAAAATTATAATTTTCGCATTTGAAAAAAAAAAAATTTACATAATGACAACCGGGAAAACTCCCGATCATAGATATGCATATAGGGATAATCATGGTTACCTCGATTATTATGCATTCATTAATTTCAAAACACTGCTAGTTTAGAAAAATCACATAAAAACTCCTTATATTATAAAGTGTTGTTTATTGCTGCTCAGTGACCAAATAATATCTCAAAATAATTAAAAAAAAAAACAATTGTCCATTTCTCTTTGGACTAAAAAATAAGTAAAAAAAAGTTTTGGCATTTAAACATAAGCAACAATTTTATTCTGTAAATAAATGTCAATAAATAAAATTTTAATAATGAAATTTAAAATAAAGAAAAATGTATTATTTTAAATAAATAAAAATAATTATAATAAATGAACAAATAAAATGTAAATAAATTTATATAAATTGTAATAAATCAAAATAAATAAGCTAAATGTAAATAAATGTAAAATAAATGAAAATATATAAAAAATTGTAAATAAATTAATTTAAAATAAATTAATAAGTACATTTAAAACTATTTTTTAAATAAATTAAAATACATATTAAAAATAAATAAATAAATAAATAGTAAGTATTTGTCTAAAGTAAATCTAAGTTACAAAAAAAGCTAAGTATTTCCCTTTTACAATGAATAAATGTATTCAAAAGCTGCTGAACCTTTTCATCAACTATATAACAAAATTGGTATTTTAAATTTTGCATCTTTTTTTTCTCAGTGTAGGGCGCTCGCGGCATTCTTGTTTAACTAGTAGGTGCATCTGTAAAGCACGAGTCTGTCACTCCATATATGCAAGCCACGCGCCTCCATTGGATAAAACGAACTTGCGTGTGCAAAAGACGCGATATGTGACAGGCAATTAGTTATTAGCCTCAGCCATAGTTAATCCAGTGTACATGGTGTACAGAACAAGCTTGGAACTTCAAACTAGCACTCAGTTAGCATCACTTTAAGTTGCAGCAGTTTTGCTGCATGCAGAAACACAGTGTTGAGAAGCCTTCACGATTAATTAACCGTGACGAATTAAAGTGTGGTTAGTAGTGAAATTTGTTAATCTTTGCATCCCTACATGCATATATACATTTATATCTCTGGCTCTGTATGCCCAGTCCTCCACTGCAGCTTTGTCCCGCATTCATTTCAAAGAAGCGTTACCCTGTACTAAAATGGCGGCTCTATCGACGGATTCCTTCCAATAGACAACAACAGGGTAGGCGACATCTAATGTAAATATCTATTGCTCACCACTATTAGTCTAGTCATCAACACTGCTGAACTACACAAGAACAAGAGCAGCAGTGTACTGTTTCTGCACAAACACACAGCGCCACCTACTGACCCACAGCAGCAATACATCGCTCTCACATTGAGGTAATGTCAGACTTTCTCCTTAATATGATTTTACAAAATGATTAAGTGCAAAATACAAATAGAAAAATCACAACAGCAGCAAATGACTATCAAAGTACAACAGTGTTCACAGTCAATTAAACAGTGGTAATGTTGTTTTGAAGTCATACTTACAAGTGATGACCCAATACTCAACGTTCCATGGTCATAAATATAGGGACTGTCATGAGTTGTCACTGAATGAATATGTGAATATAAAACCAACTTAACCTCAATTGCTCTCACACAATTATCTGACTGAACGAGGAGCGTTTCTCTAATACCGCTGTTTGTGTGGTGAAAAAATTAAAAGTGATTTTAGGCTTCTATTTTAGAATTTATGCTAAAAAGAAGCTGGTTGATGCAACATTTATGTTGATATTGGGACTACGGTGATGTTATCTATATGCATACTTCATCTCAAAGTCTAAATGCGTTGGATGCTGTTTACCATGATGCACTAAGATTCATACTAGGGTTGTAACAATATACCGGTATGACGGTTACCACGATTTGAACGTGCACGATTATCATCCCATGAACAATTGCATATCAACGGTTTTAACCCTTAAAAACCGAGACAGCCGCCCGTGGCTAAAAATAAGTATTGCTCTTAAATGTTTAATAAATTTTGATCCGCTGATCAGATTCATACAATTCAAAGATTGGCATAAAGAAGAGAATCTCAGCTTTCCAGTGCTGCACATACCATTCGTGGACTTTCAGAGGCTCCGGAATCAGTGCGGTTACGTCATCAAAATTTGACAACGCTGATTTGACAAAGAAACGCTCGTCACTGTGTCTCCGGACAAATCAGACATGATACATTGATGCATTGTCCCTCCTCCATGCCCAGATTGGTTCAAACTCGCTATATCACAACCAATAAGCATAGGTTTCGCTTTTGTTTGTGGACCAACATGAGCTTTTTGAACAACACGGAATGAGAGATAGGCATACATTTATGCGCGGCTAAATAAAACGCAAAAAAAAAAAGTTTTGCATGAAATAATTCTCATACTAAGTACTTTTGCATGCACAGCAGCACAGAAACATGACAAAACAGTGACACAGCAAAGACGAACTGCTGCTCTTGCTGTTTTCAAAAGACGCAAATGAAGATTGCAGACAACCATATCCAAATCCATATCCACAGACAACCATATCCATGCTGGCACATAAAACCTAAGGATGTTCCATATTGAATCTAGTTTCGTTATGTAACTATTTATAGTATAGTAAATATTTATATCTATTTTTTACTGAGGATTTGCACCATGTTTATTTGGACTTTGACACATTATTTATTATTTTCTTATTTCTTTATTTGTTCATTGTACAAGTGGACACATTCTCTCACCTCAGCGGTCAAGATTAAGTCCTGAAAATCTCAACATGCTTACATTTCTTCATCACAACCTAGACTGAAAAAAACAACACTTTAAATACATGTTTACAGCCATAAACTTGGTATTGCACTTTTGGTCTCCCATTTATCCTGCTTATCAGGAAGGACAGTTTAAGTTTATTTTTGTCTAATCTTAAAAGACCCGGCTTGTTTATTCCTTCTAATTTAATTTATTAAAATGGGAGATTTTTCAGTTTATTTTTATAAAAGACTTCTATAGTTCTATTAAAATGGTTCTTTCAAAAGTTTGTTGAAATAAAACCTTTGTTCAGTCAGAAAACGTGTTCTTATTCTTTTCAGGGTCTTTGCTATGAGAATTACTATTTAATACCGTATACCGCGAAACCGTCAAACCGTGGTATTGTTTTAGACGATTATCATACCGTAAAAAACTCATACCGTTACAACTCCCTAATTCATACCTAATTTTAAATCCCTTATTCATCATTGCATGCTGTATACTAGGGTATGTTGGTCTGCTTTGTCCATGTGTAGGCTCAAGCATTGGCATTTCCCTATTTACAAATCCATACTGGGTTTGCTTCCATCATATCTACAGAATTACATTTGTAAAATGTCGGTCAGTAACTATGGCCTTCGGTCACAGGATATTTATTTACTGTCTGTTGCTAAAGTAAGAACTGAGATGGAGGAAAAGGCTTTTTAATGTGCAGCACCTTTTGCATGGAGTAATCTACAACAAAGTTTAAAAAATGTATTTCACTAAATGCTTTTAACCTCTTAAGGTGTTTCTGTACATGCATTCCTCTTTGCTATTTGGGCTTCATTCATTCATTTATTTTCTTGTCGGCTTAGTCCCTTTATTAATCCAGGGTCGCCACAGCGGAATCAACCGCCAACTTATCCAGCACGTTTTTACGCAGCGGATGCCCTTCCAGCCGCAACCCATCACTGGGAAACATCCACACACACACACACTCATACACCACGGACAATTTAGCCTACCCAATTCACCTGTACCGCATGTGTTTGGACTGTGGGGGAAACCGGAGCACCCACAAAGGCAGGGAGAACATGCAAACTCCACACAGAAACGCCAACTGAGCCGAGGTTCGAACCAGTGACCCAGCGACCTTCTTGCTGTGAGGCGACAGCACTACCTACTGCGCCACTGCCTCGCCTGCTATTTGGGCTTATTGGAACCTAATTAGAATGAAAATTCAAATATCATCTTTTGATATGCTGTACTTTTAGAGAAAAATGATGTCCATATATGTGAACTCGTGGTCCCAATATACATAAAACACTTATTCCCGATTTTTTAATGCAAATTTAACATAGATTTTTTTTTTCTTGCTTTGACTATCAGAGAGTAAAATCATTTATTTCCCATTTTGGACAGTTAAAAATAGGGTTTGGGACATTTCATATGCAGCAAAACAGTTGCAGGATGACACTGTGTGTCTGTAACAAAATATAAAACACAAAGTATTTTAAATAGCCACTTAAGAGCTAAAAATGTGCTGTCTACGTGTGGAAACTCAGTTAAAAAGAATATAAATGACTTAGAAATTGGGACACAGGCGTGTAGATGTTTTGAATAGTTTGTTTGTCAATGTGTGATTCGTGTTAACTGGCAATTGGTTTTTGTTTGTTAGACCCATCATGTGACATGTATACTGCCTAATCTTGGCCAGGACGCTCATCTAAGATATTATTAATCTCAATGCTTCTTTCCTGGCAAAGTAAAGGTTTTAATATTAATAATAATATGTCATTTTGTTGTTTATTCACCTCATAGCTGTTCTGTACACAAACGAAACTAAGCACTGAGCAAATTCCACATGGCATCAAAGAGAAATCCTGACAAACACTGAAGTGAGAGTCACTGGGTTCCAGAGAAGCTACATATAACCTCCACCAATGTTTGTAATGATATTTTATGAGACCAGATGCTGAATGAGAGCAAGACGAACAGTTTCCATCTAAAATAAAACACTAAATCTCCTGATTTCTCCTGAAAATCTCCTGAAATCAACGTGTCAATTACTATCAAACAACTTTACAGCCGATTACACAGTTTCAGTCACTTACATATCATACATTGTCACATGAACCCTACTCCATTATCACACACACAGAGACGGACAGTGTGTTCATGTATATCACACAACTAACACACATGAAAACCTCGACAGCACACAGCATGACTTGCTAAAACACACTAACTGTCCTCGAAGTGTAGCTCAGACTCATCTAAAAGATCACACTGACGGCCAGATGATGTTTGACGGTATTCTGGAGCAACTGCGACACTTTTACGTCTCATTTATGAAACTTTCCTGCTGTTTGGCTGAAAGTAAAAACTCACTCTCATGGCGGCTAACATGCTAATGCTAACCACCTCAGCGTAGCGCGTGAACCCGAGCGCGTTCTCGTTCCCACACAGACCGACGGTGTGTATGTGTGTATGCAGGTGTGTGTGACGGGAGTTTATCGTGCGTGTTTTCCCGACTCTGCTGACACACTGTGTTAGCCTTAGCCGAAGCATTAGCCGTGCTCCTCGCGCTCGGTGCTCACCGTCTCCTCCGCGTCGATGTCGATTTTAAACGTCTGCTGCTGGAGGGTTTTCAGAGTGATCTGCATTTTCGCGTTCTTCCGTGTCGCCGGTGTGGAAAGTGACCGAGGGCTGGATCGCTGGCTGTGGGTTTTTGGCCGTGGTTCATCACAGCCTGTCCGCCGCCATTACGCGCATAAACACTCCACGGCCCGTCCCCCCTTTCGCCACACTGCGCATGCGCCGCGCTCC